CAGTGGCTGCTGGCAGCTCAGCAGCTTCCACATGGCTACATGACATCCTCACTGCCCAGACTCCCTCTCCCCAGCAAGTCCACCTCAAGGCACAGGAGGGTCCTGCTGCTCATGCAGGTRTTCCAGACCCCTGGAATTCCCCAGTGGAGACCTCTGGTCCTGGGGATGCTGCATCCCTTGCTCCAAGGGGGTAGATGTGAGCCAGGGTAGGAGCCAGGCRCCAAGAGCCTGTGATGGTTGAGCCTGTGATGGTTGCTGTAGCACGGGGCAGGAGAGAAAAAAATGTGGGGTAGGAGGAAAAAAATACAATGAAAGAACGAAAGGATGGGGAAGCATGAAAGGAAAATACCCAATGCCCTGCCATTGCTGCATCAGACAACAGACACCCATTGCTCCAGGAGAGTTGTGCCAGCTCCCAGSAGGAACACAGGGCTGGGCAGGAGCGCCAGGGTCAAAGGTATCTATCACTTGATGTGCAAACCGGTTCAACAGGAGACCACGGAGAATACCACACACTGGAGCTGGGCACACTGGAGCAGGGCTGAAATGCGGGGACCTGAATGGTGGAGGCAGAGAGGAAAAGGCAAGAAGGAAAGCAACAAAAGTGYCAAGAAGGAGGAGGGGAGTTGAAAGCATGTCACAGGCTTAAAACGTTCACCTTGATGGGCTGTGACAGGTTTAATTTCCAGAGTACGATCATTAAAGTGATGAATGGGAGGCGTTCATCTCGCGCCTGTTGCACTTGAGCCCACCGTGGCTGCAGGAGGGTTTGTTTTGTTGCTGTTATTTATGAGGTTGTTTCTGGAGGAGCCAGGCACTCGTCCAGAGCTGGGGGGACAGAGGAGGGGACACTATTGATGCTGGAAGCGTTAGGGTATTGATTTACAGCTGGGCTGCTTAGCTGGATGGCTCATTTGTAAACACTGACAAATGCCATTAAAGCTGCATCTCCTTCCTGCCTTTGCCCTGGCATCCCTCCGTGCTGCAGGATGTGGCTGGCACCGCTCTCCACCGTATTGCCTGCGCACCCTGGAGGGGCTGTCTGTTCTTTCCCACCAGGAATATGAAGGTTCTGCCTCTTTGAGGGTCATCTAGGGCACTGGGAAGATGCAGGACTGTCCCCTGGTCAGTAGTGCCTCATGACAGTGACACCTGATGAGCTTGTGCAGCCAGCRCTACCCACCCTCTTATGCCTTTGCTGGTCTCGGCCCCACTTCTTTTGGCATTGATAACAACTTGTTACTTGTCATCARTGCTCCAACGAGCTTCGGGTGACCTGGCCCCATTAAGGTGTCACTCCATCCCTATGACAGCACTCTCCAGCCTGCTGCAGCCCATGATCCCTTGCCACACCACAAGCTCCACACTGTCCTCACCCATCCATCCTGTGCACCCACGCACTTCATGGCCTCCCTTTGCTGATTCAGCTTTACACTGTCTCCCTCCCCTGCACCCATCCTCAACACCCCTCGCCTCTCGCTCTCTCCTGCACCCCTGCATCCCTCCCTCTTCCATCCGATCTCCTCCATCTCAGCTGCCCCGGAACTTCCCATCTCCCCTCGCTCTSCGTATCATCCCTGCACCCCTGAGAACTCCCCACCGACCTCCTTCACCCCTCCGTGTTCCCCTGACCCCCACSTGCCCCCGGCCTCTCTCAGCCCCGCTCCGGCTCCATCAGCCCCGCGCTGCCCGTCCCTCCGCCGCCCCCTGGCGGTTTGTCCCGAAGCGGCCGCCGTTATCGCTGCGGGAGCCGCCGCGTCCGGTATCCATGGCAACGCTGGCCGGCCCGCASGGCGCCGAGCGGCCGGGACCGGGCCGGGACGGCACCGAGGTGCTCCGGACTCTCGCTGCTTTAGGGAGTCGGGCTGGGCTCGAGGGAGCCGGACAGGTCCCGGGGATGGTGGCTCKGGCTCCTGCTCGGCTCCGGGGGCAGGCAGGGTTATAATGGAGCGGGTCGTGCCCCCTGGAGCTGGGCAGGCGCTCGCTGTAGGGAGCAGAGTCCTGCCGCAGTCATCCATCCATACGGGGCTCCAGGGGGCCAGGCCAGGCCGGGTTACAAAGCACAGCTTTGCTGTACTGGGCTCTGTGGACCGGTAGTGGGCAGGGCAGGGCTGTGCTATCCAGCACCAAGGAGAACCTTTCCACAGGGGCTGGGCTGTGAGTCGTGACCCCCAGGTCATGGGGACAAGCGTGGTGTGTGGAAAGGGCTGCACTCAGCTGCAAAGTGGGGACACAACGGGGACTGCTCCCCTGCGGAGGAGGGGGTTCAGTGCCACCATGAGCCTGAGAAGGGGGCGTTGGKTCTCTGGGAGTTCAGTAAAGGCTTTCTGGATGTAGGAGCAACACGTGTGAGGACTTTTTCGTCTTTTTCTCAGATGCTTGCTCAGGTGCATGGCGAGTCCCCACACTCTGACCCTTTTCGGAAGAGTGACYATGACAGGAAGGTGAGCGGAGGAGCAAAGGATGCTGCTGACGTGGGTGGATTATCTGGCAGGCAGGGAGAGGAGAGAAACAAAAAAACGTTTAGCCTTTGCTTCCCTCGTCCATCAAACCCTTTAGTATCTGCTATTTGGGCTGTGGCCAGGAGRTGTCCCCTCTGGACTCCTGGAGCAGGACTTTTGGTGACTACTGGAGTTTTGCCCGCGGGGTGGCTCCTCTCATCCTTTGTCAGAGTCAGAAACCTTTAGCGTAGAGAAACGGCTGTTTGAGTGATTCTCCTTCCTTCCTCCCAAAATGCTACACACTAAGGTGCCTGCAAGAGAGGCAAAGAAGAAAGGCGTATTCTGGGGCATTGAGGTGCCTGAAACACTCAGTTGGCGTGGCTGGGAACTTGGAAGAGAGATGATCAAATACCTGACCTTGAAAAATGTTCATGGGAAAATCCAGAAGCTGAGTTACAGGTGCGTGGGAAGTTTGTTTGTCCTTTGTACTCCTCACGCTCTCTCTGCATCTTCACTCCTTCTGCTSTATCAGTCACATCAGCACCTTTTCTCAGATTCACCTTCCCTCTCTGCCCTTGAATGCTGTGCTGGAAACAATGTGTGCACCCTTACATTGCAGGACAGAAACCTGCTAATTCAGAAACAGCCCTTGTTCCTGGCAGAAGTGTGTTAAATGAAATGCCTTGTTTTAAATTCTGTTTTGCTGATACTTCTGTCTGTGAGGCATTTCCAGTCTAGTGAGATTTTAATTGTGGATGTATGCCAGCCAGTCACTAATGTGACCGAAAACCATTGCTCCCAGAGTCCCTCTGGATGCTGAGCCATTCCAGCAGTCCTTGTGATCCTCCCTGCYCTGAAACTCAAATGCGTTTGCCTATGTGTTTTGCTCATACTGCATGGCCTGAAAACATAAAATATTGTTCAAGRAAGGGGTAGGTACTTGGAGCCCAGAATGGGTTTTCAGGACACCTGGGTTCTGTCCCTCTTTCTACCACTTTGCTGCCAAAGTACCCTTGGGGTCCAGTGTGTAAAGTGCTTCTAAATGGAGGGGTCTGGAGGTGTTGGTTATTTATTCTCTTTCTTGCTGACTAACGTAAGCTGCATGCCCTCAGACAAAAATCTCTYTTTTTTTGATTTTGTTATCTAGAGCTCCTTCCACGTCATTCTTCTTCACTGTTTTCCCGCAGCCAATTACACTGAGTCCYGGTATGTCCTTAACTCTGCCCATCGTTTTCCGACCCACTGAAAAGGTAAAGCAGCAATATCACAACTGCTCTTAGTGCTCAGGCTGTGTTCTGGGTGAGGGCAGTGGGCCTCTGCCTCTTTTGTCCTATCTGATTTGTTTTCACTTGAATGCATGAGTCCTTGAGCAAATTCTAGCATATGAAGAGTGGGCAGAATGACCTTCCTGCTCTCTCCACATCTTCATTAGCTGACGAAGCCTAATCCCTGACTCCTCTGCAGMGTTGGCCAGTAGTTATGAGAAGAATCGTTACAAAAAGTATTCCTAGTTTTTCACATACTGTTTCTGGCTTTCACCTCAGTAAGATAAAGTCCTTAAACTGTCCACACCTGGTTTGATCCCAAATAAACTCATYTGAGTGGTTTTAGTGCAGAACCTTGACAGACTCACTTTCTGCTTTCCTACAGGAGATCACAAAGCCACTACTTTCGAGGGCTACCGGTTTTCTGTAAGGGAGATATCAGGGGCCTCCCTTCTTTTGGATGGAACAGGTTTTTTAAGCTTTATTTTAAACAGCAATGATTCTTTTTATCCAGACCTTCTTCTTGATTTTCAGGTTGTTCGTAGTGTCTGTCTTGGCTCTGAGTGTTGATCTCTGGCTCTCACTGACAGCTGCACGTCTTTGATGTGTATCTCTGTCCTAGCCATAGAACATGGTCATTGGACAGATTCCCAATACTCTATTCTCTTAGTGTCATGATTTTCTGATGACTGTTCAGTGTTCCCTTTATGAAATAAGCTGCTGGCCTTGTTCYGTTTTCAATGAATAGTTTGCCTGCAGTGCATTAAACTCTAAAGCAGGAGGCTGCCTTTCTTAGAGAGAGCAAGGACTGTGCRTGCTGGATTGCCCAAGGTCTCTCTTTACCTGTATAAGTGTTACTCAGGAGAGGTGACAGATGGGAAGCATAGAAAATACATATCTTTCAATTCTTTCTATCTTGGCTGGTTAGCAGATGTGCTGGGACTATTTGTACACAGTGCTGTCAATGCTGCATCTTTAAGTTGTGGGTTATCTGCTTGGATCTCTATCTGACAAAGCATTTAATSAAAGATTAATACTTCTGTGCTCGTGGAGCTCAAAGAAAGATTGTACATGCTTCAGTTTAGCTGAGTGGGGATCTTGAAAATACTGAAAGAGATCCATCTGCATTGAAACAAATCGGGTGAAACCAATGTGGTCTTCACCTGCTCTCCCCTGAGRGTGTTTGTATGTTCCCTGACAGAGCAGTATGTCTGAGTACCTACTACACTGCCTGCTTCTTCTGAGTGATTGAGGCCTCCAGTGGTGCCTCTATTGCCAAAACTTTTCCCCCAACACTTGCAGAGGTGAAGGTTGCAGGTATTCATGGGTGGAGCTGCAGTTACCTGCAAGGTTGAATCCATCTAACTGCTGTCTCCTCTTGCTTTTTTTGTGCAGAGGGAGTGTGAAGACAGCATCTTCTTTACGACAGCTGAGGGTGAGTTCTCTGTTACCCTGCGTGCTGTGCTTCCACACATCCGTCTGTCCATCCCAGATGCTGTCCAGTTGCCTATCTGTGCTGTCTACAGTGCTACAGAGACAAAGTTCCCTGTGTGCAACACTGGGTAAGTGAGAGGTGGCTGAGCAGACACTCTGTTTTGTCAGGTATTTTGGGTCCACTTTTTTGGGCTCTCCAATGAATGCAGCTCGTTCCAGTGGTTGTTAGATCTGCTGGCTGCCTTAACAGGAGGCAAAACTCTGCCTCCCCTGAGGTCTTGGCAGAAAAGAGAGAAGAATGGTAGTACAGGTCACTGGGCACATCTTAGCATCTCACATCTGTTTGTTGCCAGTATGTGGTAAGAGCCATTCATGCACAGGAGCCAGGTGGATGTTCAAGCACAGTGTCCCACTGAGTGCACCTCACATTCACAGGAGAGGCCTCGGCTTCTGTTTAACTAAAGATAACCTGCCCAACATGAACAGGGAGAGGTGAGCTATCAGCTGGAAACATTTTGGTCATTGAGGAGCAAAGATGGTCCCAGGTTTGTCTTATTTTAATGACGGAATGACAGTACTGTAGAAAGGAATGCAGTGAACTTCCCAGGCAAGGAGGAGGTGCACCTCCAACCATTTTGAGTGTTTCAGTCTCCACTTAGAGAAGTAAATTTTACTAACTGAGAGGTCCAGGATCCTCCAGTTGRAGGATATGGATGGTAAGCAACACACAGCCTGGATCAATAAAATAGAAAAAGCTGATGGCATATCATGCTCTTTGCAGAAATCAAACAAGCAAAGGGGGTTCTGGAAAACTGAGTGAGGTATTAGGGAAATGGCTCAACCCTCTCTTCTTGCTTGAGCATATAATAGAGGAACAAATATTCATTTGGAATTACGCAGCTGCAAATTTAGATACAGGTAAAGCAAATASTTAATTCTGGAGCTGATTTGCTTGCTATTACATTATGGCCATTAATAAAGTTCTTAGATGTAATAACAAAGATTCATTAAAGTGTGAACAGAGCATTTGCAGAAAAYAGAGACAAATTTCTTGTTAGCATCACACATTTGTCCAGATGCATTAGGGATTCTGCCATTCAGCACTGGTTGCTTCACATCCTAACTAAATAACCTAACGGGAAAGGCCCATCCTATGCATGATTGCACAGGCAGCAAATGATCCATTCATCTGTTTAAAATGTATCTCCATTTTCTAGTGATCTCGTTTTCACCTTTGCCTGGGAGACACCAAGCCCTTTCACCATCATTCCTGACTTTGGCACTGTGAACCCAGGTACTGAGTGCATGGTCAAGGTGATCTTCCAGCCTGAGGAGGCTGGGGTGCATGAAGTGGCAGCAACATGCTGGTTTGGAGGTGAAGARAAACAAAATAAGACAATCCAGCTAAAAGCCCTGGGTGAGTCCTTCTTGAATTTAACACTCAAAGAAATGTGTATTAACCCTAACTCTGGCTCAACTCAGTGATGAGCAAGTGAAGCCCATTGTTTGAAAGTGGCCTGTGAAATTCTTGARTGTACTTTTGCCAGTTTGGAATTATTACCTGAAGAGACAGAAGGTCCAATATGTCCTGTGGCATGCTTTGGCCAGRACAGCATTTCCAAGACTTGTTTAAGTTGGCAGAGAGGAAGAAATGAGAGGAGTTCACTGGAAAAAAAACCTCCACAAACTCCTGGCTTTGTCTGCAMTCAGTGTCTCCTGTCTGTCCCTGCTAGACAGAGAGGCAGAGGGAAATTTCTAAAGCTTTCTGGACACAAGTTAAAATAAGCAGTGATTTCATTGTCAAATAGTTGCCTGAAATTACTTGTATGGCCACTGACAAAAAATGTGATTCTGAGTTAAGTWAATTAGGGCTGTAAGGGAATTTATTTGGTTCAAAGCAGGGCCAACTTTGAAGGTAGATRTAGCTTCAGAGTTGTCTGAGGTTCTTCAGAGGCTTGTCCAGTTGAGTATTGAATATTCAAGGATGGTGGTTCCACTGTGTTTCCTAATCCAGTATACTATTCTCTTTAACAGCCAAATACCCCTGCCTGTTTTTGAGAGTGACAGGAAAGGAGCATGAAGGTGTACAGCCTGGAAAGTTTCAGGATGTATTGTCTTTTGGATCAGTACCAGTGGGAACAACTGTTGAGAAGCATGTCGAAATCTTCAACATGTCTGTGGTATGTGGAGAGGGAGATTGACTTCTTGTGAGAAGCTGGCATGCTGACATATTTCTCTGGTTTATGTGGTTCTTGTGTATCTCCCTTGCTGTGAAAGTAACCCAAGTGTGAATGTGAATGAAGCAGAGATGATGAGCCTTCCTCTACCAACKATGCCATTTATCCTTGCCTTCCAGCTATAGTGCAGGCAACTTAGCCGTTTGCAGCATGATACTGCAGTTTCCCCCTGCTTCCCACTGTGCTTGGTACAAATAGGCAGCCACCATGTCCTTTGCATCCTGCAACTCTCCTGCTCACTCTGGACCAGCTCATCAGTCCTGTATGGCAGTTGTGTCAGTCTCAAATTGTTGCATGTCTGTCCCAGGATGGATCTTCCATTGCCCTCTGTTACCTGTGCCAGCTCAGCCCATCCCAGCCCCTTAAGTGATGGATGTACTCAGAGACTGCTGCCATGGGTGACAGCAGTTCTGATTCCTCCACAGGCCTTGCAGCTTGAGAGTGGAAAAAATTTGTTGTACTGTTCACATTGCAGTGGTGCTCAGCATCATCAGGCAAGGATCAGGACAATTTTTAAGGGTCTTGAGAAATGTGTCAGAGTACCAGCTTTGSTCTTTTGTGAAAAGAAAATCCCTAGACAAGGTGGAACTGTGAATGGAGGGAAATAAATTACCTGCCTGCCTGTTCCCCTGGTCACAGCAGTCACTTAGGCTACTTTGGCCCCTGGGGGACACCTTGAGCCATCTTTCCCTTCACCAGAAAGGGCACTCCAACCCCAGAGATCACTGGTTTTGCTGCAGCCTGCTGATTCCTAAGCATCCTAAGCATATTGTGAGACTTGCTGCCACCAGTTCTCCATCAGAACAAGGTGGCAGAGGTTTGCTGCGCTGCATTTCTGTGATGGCCTTGATGTTCTTAGTGGTGTTCAGCACTRCTGAAAACTACAGTTCTTACCTGATTAGTCCTGCATTCAGAGCCATCCTGGCTCCTGTTGGCTCCTTTATTAACCTATTTCTTTTCAACTTGTAGGTTGATGCACCATGTCAGATAGAACGAGCAAAAGATCCTCTGATTCGTGATTATGTTTTCTCCTGTGATGTGTCCTGTGGCATTGTCCCTGCCAAAGGGAAGCTGGTCTTGTGTGTACGGTTTCAGCCTCAAATAGCAGGAGAGCACAGTACTGACTATTTCATTGTCACATCTGCTGGATGCCGCCTGGAGACTGTTCTGAAGGTGGTTGGCTCATGTAAAGGTACCAAAGCCTTTCATGTTTCTGCCTGCCMGCTTTTTACCACTGGAAGGAAAAAGTTAGTGCTTGGGGAAGGACTAGGAACTGTCATAGCCTGCAGTCACAGACTAACCTCCTGCCGGGATCCTGGCTATCCCTGGTGTATAAATCCCAAAAGTTTGGGATTTAAACTTGCTTGACTGTTTTAAGTGAATGTCCAGCTGTTTGCTAGGACAAGTGGGTTTGCTGATGAGGTGACTCTGGTTTGGGAAGATCAGTTAAATGCAGCAATGTGTGTGACATGTTGGAAGAAAGTGCTATGACAGGTCCAGGATCTTACCTTGCATGTTGTGCTAGGTCCTTCCGTGTCCCTGCACCAATATTCTGTGGATTTTGACTGGATCAGTCTTGGAGAAAGTTTGATGCAGCCACTGAAAATCAGCAACATATCAGATGTCCCAGCCTATTACCAGTTTGATATTGATGGCAAAGGGAGTGTCTTCTCCTTGGATCGCCCTTATGGAGTCTTAGAGAGCAAAACAACACTAACACTGAAGGCGACTTTTCGACCTACTCACCCAATGAATTATCACCGCAGAGTCGTGTGCCTTGTCCACCACCAGGTATGGCACACAAAGGGTGGTTTCATTGCTATGATACTTTAGAGGCATCTTCCAGTGTAACCCAGTAGGGCTGGCCTGTCTCAGTAGCCCCTGCAAATCTCTTCCCACTGCATTTTCATTGATACCTATCACAGAATTGTTAAGATTGGAAAAGACCTCTAATATCATTGAATCCAACCATTAACCCAGCACTGCCAAGTCCRCCACTAATCACATCCCCAAGTGCCACATCCACATGTCTTTTAGATACCTCCACAGATGGTGATTCAGTTACATCCCTGGGCAGCCTGACAGTGCTTGACAGCCATTTTGGTGAAGAAATYTTTCCCRTTATCCAATCTAATCACCTTTCAAGCACAATTTGAGGTAATTTCCTCTTGTCCTATCACTTCTTGCCTGAGAGAAGAGATCAACCCACACCAGGCTATAACCTCCCTTCAGGTAGTTGTAGAGAGCAATACAATTCCCCCTGAGCCTTGTTTTTTTTCCAGGCTAAACACCTCCAGCTCCCTCTGTCATTCCTCATAAGACTTGTGCTCCAGACCCTGTATGAGCTTCATTGCCCTTCTCTGGACATGCTACATCCTCTCAATGTTTTTTCTTTTGTACTGAGGGGCACAAAACTGAACATAGTATTCAAGGCATGGTCTCACAAGTGCTGAGTACAGGGGATCAATGACTACCCTGGTCCTGCTGGCCACACTATTCTTGATACAAGCCAGGCCTTCTTGGCACATGCTGGCTCATGTTCAGCTGCTGTCAGCCATCACCCACATGTCCTTTTCTGATGAGCAGCTTTCCCACCACYCTGCCCCAAGCTTGTAATGCTGCCTTGGGCTATTGTGACCCAAGTGCAGGCCCGGGTTCCTGTTGAGCAGATTCCCCATGGTGCAGTTCCTATCAACATTAGGATGTGAACAGTCAGCAACGCCTATGGATAGGGTGTGGCACATCCTCCATGGGTCTTGTCTGTTTAGGTGTCTCTCTTAAATTYAGCTGCACAGCTTGAGTGCCTTCAATTTTCACTCCAGATTCAAGAAAGTTCTTGTATCATGTCACGACAAYAAAGTAAATGGCAGCCTAATACTGCAGATGCTATGCCTTTCGCAGGCATGGTTTTGGAAGTTGAGATRCTCATATGGTGTAACTCTCAAAGCAATCACAGGACAGTTTGTTTCTTATTATCCTGTCTTGTGTTTTCCCAGGACCCCATGTATGTGGACTTTCTTGGTACCTGCCATTCTGACACAGCTAAGCCAATCACCCTTCAGGAAAGACACCTCTCCTGGTACCGAACCAACATGATAAGGGGACTGACCTTCTACCCCCCTGACATCCTGAGTACTATGCTGAAGGAGGGGAAGTTGCAGATGGATGAAAAGGGAGCCCTCAGGCTGCCACCTGAGGTATGAGCTGCCCTCCCTGGAATCTAAGACACTCCCAGCTGTTCTCTGTATATGCTAGGTATCTGTTGAAGAGAAGATGGACCTAGAAGGGCTTGCAGGTGCCAGACTGATTTCTTTAGTATTTCTGCTGTTGGTGTTCCCAGCACACACCAACACTGTCTTTATCAGCTGGATTTTACCCCAGCTCAGCCACTAAGCCGCTTTCCAGATTTAACTCAATCACAGGGTCATCATTTGCTTCATGTACTTTCAGACTGAGGCTTACAGACAGAAGCCTCCTCGAAACCTAGAGTTTGAGCTGTCCTGGGAACTGTAACTGGAATGAATCTTTCATTCCCTCTTRCTCATGAAGGCAAATCAGTGTTTCTCACAGGCACACTTTCCTTGCTCACACTGAGATGTTTCCATCCTGTAGATTTCAAAGGGCAAGTCACCCAAGGAATACTTTGAACCCAATGCCATGACTGAATATTTCCACGATGGTGTCATCAGCAACCTGGCCTTGTTTCCTGCTCATGTTAGTGTCAGTCCCAGGGAACATGATTTTGGATGCTGCATACCAYCTCACAAGGTAGAACCTCTTCCTCTCCGCGTGACCAACCACACCAAAGGAAGTATCATTATTGCCTGGACTCCAAGCCATGGCAGTGCCTTCCAAGTGCACCCCGAAGTCTGTGAAGTGCTACCTTTGAGGTCTTCAGCCTTCCAGGTCTTTTGCAAGCCCACTCAGGTCAACAGTCTCTATGCAACAGAGCTGGAAGGTTTTGCTGTTTACAAGGTTAGTAGGAGTTACTAAAACCAGAGATGACCTAGCAAGCAAGTGTTTACAGAATAAAGTCTTTTGGGAGAGTTAAAATTTAATTTAAACCCTTAATTTTGAATTTGACAAACTAGCACCTCTATTAACTCTTTTGGCCACTGCTTTGATACACTATTGGGTTAAAGTTTCTCCTTCATTTGTGTCTTGGCAAAGAAATGGGAGAAACAAGTCACAGCTCATGCACGTGGACTGGTACACTTGCTGTTACCCCCAGGGAACATGAAGCATAGTACACCCCATTGAAGGAGGAATTACTATGAATTATTGCACTATTACTGTAGAGGTGAGCCTGCAGAATAATAGTTATTGTGGCCTGGGTGATGGGCAATAACTTGTTCTTTGTGTCTGGCCCTCCACAAGGAAAGCTGCTGAGAGCACAGTTACTCTTCTCCCAAGTGCCGTGGGATTCATGTTACATGAGTCTGCAGTTATCGAAGATTTAGCCCCTGGAAATGTCCTGGTTAGAGAAATCTGGCATTTCAAGTCTCTCTCTCTCTCTTTGTTTCTCGTCTGGCAGTGGTCAGTCCTTCTTCCCTGAAAATGTCAATTCCTTAGCCCCGGGGATATCATTGAATGAGCAGCTGCTTGAGATAGTATGTGCAGTTGGTCCCTTGCAACTCAGACTACTTTGTGATTCTGTGAAGGCACCTTGTCACAATCCCTTCCTGTACACACTGTGCTGTCCCTCKTGTGTCTGCAGGTGATGAGAAACTACACCAACATTGAGAATGATGCCACCCTCTGTCCGTCGTGGTGCCTGACTGTGAAGCTGCGAGCACACACATTTGAAGCAAAACAGGATCACTTCATTCCACAGTATATCCTGGATGTCCCCAAAGTGTGTAACTGATTGACCTTTGAATCTTTGCAGAGACACTCTGACTATGAATTCTTTTCTTTGTCTCCCATTGCACTGAGATATGTCTTTGGTGGTTTCTGATGGTGTGGGGGCTCCCGGTTTGGTACAAAAGAAGGATGCTATTTCTCTTTCCTGCATTATCTTCCTAGCCTCCAGCATCTCAGGCTGACCATCTCATTAGCACTGAGAGAAAAGCTGTTGGGATCTCCTTCCTTTCTGTTTAAGTTGACATAGGCACTAAAAAGGGTGTTCAGGCCCCTCCTAGGAGCCACAAAAATTCTGCATGCACTTAGGCAAACACAGAACCCTCACTTAAGAGAAGTGGTTATAAGATAGAGGGGAAGGTTCTCTCACTCTTTCTGCTGTTTCTGTAGCCAATAAGGTATTTTTCCTATGAGGTAAAGTGAGATTGTATTCTAGGAAGTAAGAATAGTCTCGAGAATCTCTTGTAAAATCTCCTCAGCTAATCTAGGCCATGCAGCCTTTATCTGATATGCATGAAGTAGAGAAAATTCTAGCCTGCTGGAATTCTTCATGCAGGATGCCACTATCCATGCAGAAACTGCAGACACCCGCAAGCAGCTCCCTTATTTGATGGGCATAAAGCATTGCATAAKGGAAAATAGCTTACCAGTCCCATGAACCCATAAGATCCACTGTGGGAAGAGAAAAGACCATCATTTGCATGGGTGGTTTGTGKGGTTTAATTTCTTTCCTTGAAAAGAAGCAGTTAGAAAGTTCTCCATAGACTCAGGATAGTGCTTATTGGAATCTGGAATTGAATGCAGTGAAAACTTTTTCTATCAGCTGGTTTTTAAACCCAATGAAAACAACCCTTCTTGCTTGTCTCCACCAGACTTTTCCTCCTGTGGCTTGTGACGCTGATACCTACTGCAGCGTGCTGCTGTCCAACATGGGCACCTCTTTGATAACCTTCCAGGTGAACCAAACTGCCTGTCCCTCTGCTTTGGTCAAGCCCAGTTCAGGACACATCATTCCAGGCGGCCACCAAATTTTCCTTCTCTCCACTCGCCCAGTTAACACAGACACACAGCGACATGTKGTGTCTTTGCAGCTGAACTCTTCTCCTGCTTACACTGAGGTAAGGAGAGGGAAGTGGAAGATGTTGAGTGAAGTTTTGTTCCCTTGTGGTCATCCCTTTTCACAATGACTTGCACTGTGATGCCTATTGTATCTTCTAGTGCTTGGTTTGGATTTTTCCCTTTGGAAATAGGAATGAAAGAATATTTTCAACATTTAATATGGGGTCAACATTGCAGAAATAAGGTCTTTGTGGTGCCAAACATCCTGTACCCAATTTTCCTTGCATTTCCATCTCTTGCAATACACTGTATTATGCTAAGGGCCTTACTTGACAGCACAGCCTAAAGCCCTTCCCCTCCTCATTAAGATCCAGTTTGTTCTTGCTTCTCTCTTGGATGGAGCAACATCTTTGCATGGTCCCTCCACAGGCAGCTGAGACTTCTAGCTAATGTCTGTTACTGTTTCCCTTAATTCCACAGGAGATTGTTCTCCGGAGTTGTGGGCAGTCCCTGCTTTTGCTCTTAGAAGGTGATGGAAATCTCTACTTCAAGCCTCTCTATGTAGGAACCTCCTTTACACGAATGTATACCATTAAAAACTGCACAAGGCTACCCATAGTTTTCACATGGAAGATCCGTCAGTCTGACAGTAAGATCCTGTCTGTCAGTCCCACTGCAGGGATTCTCCAGCCCTATGAAGCCATGGTAAGTTAAATTTCCACCAAATTTGTAGTTTGCTCTCTACAATACAACCACAGACTGGCTTTGAATATCTGAATGTTCGTTCCCAGTATGAGAATGAACTAAGAGAACTAAGTTAGCTGTAATGAAGGAAGGGACTGTGGTGCATCCTAAATGCAATTGTTGAGATGTTTGGGTTTATCTCTGGACTGGAGATCCTGTGARCACTCATTCCTCTTGTGATTGCAGGCTCAAGCATGGACTTTTACTCCTAACAAGGAGACCAAGTATCTGCTGCGAGCTATGGTGTCTGTGAGGTGGAAAAGCTCACAAGACCCCAAGTCTCCCAAAAATGTCCATTATGTCTTACGGATCTTTGGAGAGGGGGCACTGGGCAACATCAGGGTAAGGAACGGGGGCCCACTGATTAGTAGGAAYGGGTACTAGGGTGAGATTGGGATCTTGGACTTTCCTTTTTCATTTGCACTGGAGGCAGCCATTAAGAACTCACAGCAAAATTCCCGCACGCTGCTTTCAGCGTGAATGACAGTACTGATTCTAGTGGCCTAATGGCAACATGTGGTCAATGTCCTGGCAGTTCAAATATGACCTTCACTAATCATCTGGTATTGCTCTGTTTCAGACTAAACCAAGCCATTCGGATCCTTGGGAATCATGGTTCTGTCCTCTCATTCTGTCTGTTCTCCTTCTCCATTTGTTTTGATGTTTATCTGATTTCTGTGTGTCGTGGACCTTTTAAAGTGGTATAGCCAGTAYACCTCCAGCTGGCTTTCCTCCTGTTATCTGCTGGTCTGTGAAGCCACCTTTATTTTTAGTCAGGTTTCTTAAGGAACCAGAGGTAAATAAAACAGTACTTTGTAAGTCATCACCCCATGTCAATCATGTTGATTGATGGGTGATAATGTCTTCATGGTAYTTAGTCATTATAAATTGTATGTGACTGTACAACTAGCCAAAAGAGAGGGAGACCCTTTAAGCAGTCATGAAGGGGCCCTTGGCCCAAGTGCAGCTAGCCAACTGGTGTTCTCACAGCCCTGAATATGCTATATCTTAACCAGCAAACACTCTAAGTAACAGTAGAAGAAAGCATTTGGAGGAGGGATTGAGTCACTTGAAGACCTGTTCCACATTTTATCATGTTACCTGAAAGGGGTTTGTAGCAAGGTGGGTGTTGGTCTATTCTCTCAAGTAATAAGCCATAAGGCAAGAGCAAATGACCTCACATTGCACCARGGAAGGTTTTGACTGGATACTTGGAAATATTTATTCAGGAAAGGGGCTATCACTCATTGGAATGGGCTGCCCAATGAAGTGTTTGGGTCATCATTCCTGGAAGTATTTAAAATACATGTAGATGAGGCACTCAGGGCATGGTTTAGTGGTRGACTTGTCAGTGTGAGGTCAATGGTTGGACTCAATGATCTTAGAGATCTTTCCTAACCTTAATGATTCTCTGATTCTATCTCCCAGGGCATGCCAGATCTTACACAAAGCAGGGAGCCCTTGAACTGCCCTGCACATGCCAAGGGATCAGCATGTGGTGAGATAAGTGGTGGCTACACTCAACCACTGTGCTTGACATGTAAAGTGACCTCAGCATGGTGGGTTTGTATTGCAGGCACAAAAGAAGTATCTGGACCTTGGAAATGTTATGATTGGTGGGCAACAAAGCTGCAGTGTTGTACTGCTAAATGATGGGATCTGTACTCTGAATTACATCCTTCGTGTGGAACAACTCTTCACAGAGCCCCATTGCCCTGAGGAGGTCCACAGCGATCCACTGGGTACTGTAAAGGAATTAGCATGGGACAGGGCTTTAGCTTTCCCTCTTTTCTCCAAAATCAGTCTGGCATAAACTCGGAGATTGGACTGCTTGCTGACAGTCTTGCACTGAGTCTCTCAAAACTTAAGTTGTCTGCTCCTTTGCATAGGATGTGACTCTTCTATCTTGCTGGAAAAAGCATAATCCAGAGTCTGACRACTGAAGTTAGACTAATCTAGACCTTGAAATAAGATGCAATTTCTCACCAGAGAAGGAAGTTAAATCAAAGACCTTACCAGAAGAAATTCTGGARCTCAACTCTTGGTTGCCTTTCTACAGAACCTCTGGTGGGGACGTTCCCTGTTCTTTGCAATCTGGGTACTCCCAATGAGCTGCCTACAGCTGTAGCCTGGGAATCCCAAGTTCAGCACTTGGGATTAACCATTGGATAAACCATTAGACATTAACCATTAGACCTAACTATTAGACAAAGAGGGGCAGTGGCTAGAGTGCAGGTAGACTTAGGGATCCATGTTCCACTACATGTGTGGTGTAAGAAACAGTGATGCCAAGAGCTCATACCATCYCTTGTGTCCTACAGCTCTAGAGCTAGAATACTCCAAAGGAACAATCACTGCAGGATCAAAAGCTTCTATTCAAATAAACGTGAGGCCAGCCCGTCGACTGACTTACACCTGGTTTATCAGATGTGCTATTTGCACACCCACAGGTGAGATGGATGTTTAGGGATGTTCAGATGTGGGGCACAATGYTTGTAAAAGAAGAGGCTAGATAGAYGAGGAGTTTTTGGCTTGGAAAGTGAAAAATGTAATGTCATATGAATGATAGGGAGAAGACAAGATATAAATAAATGTTTATGATTTTTCAGTGTGAAAACAAAGGGCACTTCATAAAATGACTAGGCTGTAGGCTTAAATCAAAAATGTTTTCTTTTCACATATTGGAGAACTAAATTGTAAATACGCTGTTGAAAAGAATCACATTCATAGTCTTTTGGTGACGTCTAAATGTAGAAGTCAAAGTACAACTGGAAGTCAGTGGTTTAGAGGTTTAGAGAAGCTGCCAAACAAAAAACTACATACAAAGTCCGCTTTCTTTCTTTGATCTTGGATGGTTCTCGTTACACTGCTGCAGTCAAAATTATCCAGGCAGCTGTCCCTTACTGGTGCATGACTACTTTTTGGTGTTTCTTTCTCTCCCAAGATGCAGATCCTGCAAAGACAAAAGAGGTGCAGGAACCCATCTGCTGCATCGTAGCAAAAGGCATCTACCCAACTTTGTGCATCGTAGATGCCTGTCCAGCAGGGAGCGCCAGCAGTATCAGCAAGTTGCACCTCTGGAAGCTCTTCTCCTTGGACGTACTGAATCAATACTTGGAGCGGGACCCAGCTCCTGGCGAGCTCACCTACAGAGTTCCCACAAAGCACAGGTGAGATGAGGAAATGGCTCAGAGGATTTTTGAGTCCCTTGCATGAACCAAACAGAGATGCTCTGACTTTTGGCATGTTTTGCAGCTCACTGCTGCATGATACCCTGTTATTCCATCCTAACTGCTGCAGGCAGTTGCTTACCTCCATTTCTCTGCTTAAGCTCCCTAGAAAGGAGCCACAGAAACAAAGAATAATTTAATTGCAATGGACCTCCAAAAGTCTCTGGTCTAGCCCCTTGCTCAAARTAGGGACATATAGATCAGCTTGCCCAGGGCCTTATTCAGTTCAATGCTTAATATCTCTGAGGACAAAGAAATCACAGCTTGTTTGAGCACTTGTTCAGCCATTTTCATAGTAAAAACCTTTTTCCTAGTGTCTCATTGGAATATCTTGTATTGCAACTTGTGCAATTGCCATCCCTGAGCCCTTGCTTCATAAGGCTGAACAAACCCAGGTCTCTTAGTCACTCCTTGCAAGTAACCATAGAAAGGTTTGGGTTTGAAGGGGCTTTAAAGATCATCTAGTTCCAACCCTCCTGCCATGGGCAGGGGTGCCATCCACTAGACCAAGTTGCTCAGAGCCCCATCCCATCTGGCCAATGTACTCCAGCTCTCATCCATTGGGCCTGCTCCAGGATGTCAGTGACTTCCTTGTACTGGGATGCTAAAGAGAGACTTCAAGCTAAGCAGGACTATCTTATGTCACTCATTCTCATTAGGCATAGACAAAAGATTTTTTTTAAGAAAATCAGAAGATCTGCCTTATGCCCAGCATCCTTTCTCTCAAAAGGGCAAAGAACATAAGGTCAGACAGGAATTACAAGGAAGACAGCCAGTGTAGAATGACCTTTCACCTGTTGTGCCCTGCTGACCCTTCCTCCTGTTCAGCTTAAATGTCTTTTTTTTTTTCTCCTGTGACCAGCACATGCTTGATACCTCCAGTGTACACCCCTCTCCTGCTRGATTTTGACTTTGGATCTGCCCCAGTAGGCTCAGAGCCTACCGTTGTGATGCTTCTGCTGGAGAACAAGGGTGTGGTGCCTGTGGACTGGTAAGCAGTGCTTGCTGGAGCTCAGCCTTCCTTTTGGGGGTCTAGAAGTGCTCAGAGGACTCAGAAATTTGCAGATTAATAGGGTAGGGTTTGTAGGCACAGCTTGTGTTGTGGAGCAGCTGCAACTGAGATCCGTTGGCAAGTCTGAGTGGGGAAGCAGTCATGGAGCTGCAGATCAGACCTGATGAAATGTTGATGTGGCCACCAGCTGGGCTAAGCCAAATCAGACTGAATATCCTGACCATGGCCCTGGAGAAGTTGCATGTCCTTGTTGCTGACCAGCTGATTGGTTCCCTAGGGCCTTCTTGTTTCCTTCTGATCAGAAAATGGACCTGGAGCACTGGGCAGAGGACACTGACTTTACCCCACAGGAGCTGCACCAGATGAGAATTCAGGATAATCAGCTCTTCAGTATTTCCCCAAAGTCAGGAAAACTTCTTCCAGGGCAGATGAAACCTGTCCAGCTCTCACACAGGTGAGAACAAGTACCTCTTCTTCAGAGCTTCATTCCATGTGCCAGAACAACATATGCCATCAGTCCCCTGAGTTTCCATGCCAGATTTTCCTTCCCCTACACATGTTCCTCAGCAGAGGCTGGGCAAGTAAAAAGTTCCTGAGTGTGTCCAGTTTTCAGACCCCACAGGGCTTGTCTACCTGAGGAGAATGTTTTAATGTCATTTAACACTGCAGTGCAAAAGGCATTTAGTGTGGCATGCTGGGGACACTGGTCTGCCTTGACCAGACTGTTGAGGAAGTGAACAATATGCTGCTGCACTTCCTGTACTTTTGATTATACAGTGATATTCTTATTTTTGTCATCAGCTAGAGCTACTAGCCCTTGTGTGCCTGTAGAAGGTATGAAGAAAGCTGAACGCTTCCCCTTCACAGCAGATCATATCTGAGAAGTACTGGCATTTTGTTGGCCTAGAAACTTGGGTCCCTAAATAGGTGTATGACTAAAATCAACATTGTATCACTCATTCCCACCAAATACAACTGGATTCACCCCCACCTCCCTGGGGCCCTCATGCAACAGTGACTCTTTAGCTGGGAAGTGAATTGTCTCTAATGTTCTGTGTGACTCTTGATTTCATCATCCTGGGCACAAGGTTGATTTCTGCCGTTTTCCTCTCTCTCCTTTTTCACTGTCAGACATGATTTCATTGGCACTGATCGCCTCCCTGTCCTGCTGAAGATTTCCTATGGCCATGAGATTCTGGTAAGATAGCAGGTGTCCCTCCTTCCATTTGCAGAACAACAGCAGGTAGGAACTGAATTAAGAAGTGTTTTCCCAAAAGCTACACAGTGTCCAGGGGGCTCTGGCCTTCCACTGGAATTTGCATTAGCCCGGCAGTAATAGGGCCAAGCAGAGACATAAAACCAATGTGCTGACAAACTTGTGGTTCCAGCACAGTGTGATGTGGGCAGTGCACTGGCAGAACGGCCCTTGGATGTTGCATCTGCTGGGTTCTTCAACAAGAGGACTATTGCTACCTATTATTAACCTTTGTATTTTATTTGTGGTGTTAGTGCAGAATTGCTTCTTCCTTCAAGACAACTCCAAGTCCAAAACAGGCTTGCCAGGTTTTACAGTCCCTGCTCATTTTCCACACTCAGGCATAACCCATGGTCAGGATTTCTGTGCATGTTMCCCTCATTTTGTCTGTCTCCCTCCCTCCCATGTGGGGTTCCTGGAGTTCAGATCTGCAGCCCTTCCTACTTCTCTCATGTTCAGTTTTCCTGAATATCCCCATCTCATCAGCTCTCTATACTCTTCAACCCCCCCCCGGAATGTGCTTTTCTCCAAATATACCACCGGGTCTGATGGTAGTTTGGGAGTGCACAGAGTGGCAGAGCATCTTCCAGCTCTGGGGGTATGGGGTCAGCTGCTTCCCCAAGCCCAGAAGGTACTTCCTGGGTTCCTGGTTGGCTGCAGCCTTTGTCCACCCACTTATTTCTTCTACCAATGATAGAGGAGATTCTTACTCATTCTTCCTGCTTCACTGCATCCTAAAGCATCTCAGAGCTGATCTGTGGTGTGTTTTCTCTGAGCATTTCCTCAGGCTTGGAACTAATTTCTCTCTGCCCCCCTCTCTCAAACTGTCAGTTAGAGTCAAAGTCACCTTGTGCTCTGCCAGGCACCACTCATGCCCGGCTGAGCCTTCCTGTCTGTCTCTGAAGTTTCCTATGAGACCATTGTGTTCACACATCTCTTTTATTTTTCTTYTCTTTCAGGACTATTGTCAGCTGAAAATCCAACCCTTTGACCAAGCTGTTCAAACAGTGGCTTAACTGTGCCTTCCCTCAAAGCCCTTGGACAGGCTCCCTGTGCTCTGCCTGCCTGGCACAATCCTGAGAGTGGCTGTGAGCCTTTCACCAGCTGACCAGTGAGGGAAGAGGCTTTGGAGCACCAGAAGCCTATAGGGCATACATCCCCTCTTGCCACATAGCCAGTGGATTTGATAGCTGCCAGAGGCTACCACCTTGCCTCATGCTGTCACTGCAGAAGGGGCTGGAAAAGCATGGGAGGCCCTGGGGATGAAAAGATGCCTTGGTGTATTTGAGCTCCAGCAACAGGAGCTGTGGAGGCCAGTCCAGAGACATGGTACACTGCAGGTGGTTACAGCCTGCAGAGATGCAGTGCCAGTACTGAACTGCTGTTGTCAGAAAGTAGGAGTGGAAGAGGCTTCTTCTGCCAAAAGGGCAACTGAGGGACTGCCTTCTTTCCTTGCAGTCATGGCACAAAGTGCTCAGAGTTGCCAGCTCCTGTGGCAGAGACTGCTCTAATGTGCTCACRTGCCAGGACTGAGAGCATCCTCACCTGTGATTTGGGTGAAATGGGCACAACATGTGCTAAYCTTATGGGAAGCAAATGCTGTAATGTCACCCCAAAAGTTAAGTTTTGGAAACTTCAGAAAGCAGCAATAGGCAGAGGAGGAGACCATTGGGCTGGGGTATTGCTTGGTCAAACTCCAATACTTGGCTTCAGAGCAGTGATGTTAACCAATGCCTGTTTTTTCTTTGGATTTAAATTCACTTTTGTCATGACTTTRCCTACGTGGATTGATTTTGACCTCCTGCTCCTCTGTTTCCCCAACAGAGCCTCTCTGCTTCATTTTCCGTAGAAGCTCCTTTTCTGTTACTCCTTTCCCCATTCAGTGGCCAATTTTCAGTTCTCTGATTTATAGGTGCTTTGAAGAACCCAAGCTTATTTCCCATTGTCAATTTCTTCTGGCCATAGGAGGAGACATCTGTGGGCCTTGTGTGTTACTCAATTTCTTGTGCAGTAGGGAATCAAGGCCTCCCTCTATTAATGCTCTTGCAAATTATCCTTTGCCTCTTCACCTGTAAGACTGCTTGTCCTTAGAGCTCTGAGATTGTTTGGCCAGGCAGAATTTGCCGCCCTCAGCAAATTTTAGTAGGAAAAGCTCAGCCAGCTGCAAATGTTGTAGGATGAGATAGGCTGCTTTGCAGAACTCCCARGAGAGAAGGGCTGGATCCCAAGGAMAATCCCTKRGCACATAGGTTTTGTGAACTCCAAATGTTTGCACTTCACTTCATARCTGCTMGTTAGGTATTGTGAGATGTTATCACCTTCAGCATGTATTCTCCAGGCAGCTCCCCTCCCTGGCATCCCCTGGCATCCCTCATATGCTCTTAAGTCTTCAGTATGGGATGAAGTCTATGCACTCTAGAAGGAGAATTGATTGCAACAGGTCTTCACTTTTGTCCATTTGTCTCTCTTTAACTGATAATCCTCTAAATATCATATCCTGTGTCAAACTGAACTGATGACAGCTGTTCCTCAGCGGTTCTGGTCTGCTGGAATACAAGGTGGCTTTTTGACTGAAGTTATATAAATGGGCATTTCACTCCCAAAGCTCAGGGAGGTTCCTGCCCCTTTTTCCCTTGAAGTTTGAAAGCATCAGCTTTTGTCTTCCTCCCACTTTCACTTCATCTGGCATGCTGTGGTTCTCAGGAGGCTGAATGCTTATGTAGTGCTTTGAAAAGATCCCAAGTGCGACCTTGTTGACATTGTATTTCTAGTCCTTTCTCCCTCCTCATTTACAGATCTGAACCAGAATGGGCTTTTTAAAAGGAATTGCCATTCTCTGCTCTTTTTAAAGCAGTTGATACAGTGTCTTCTGCAGGTGTCTATCTTCGTGAACATTCTCTGTCTTCTGCCCATGCACTTGAAAAACAGCCATTCTTCAGGCTTAACTTACTGTGAATTGCAGCAGCCTGGCTCCCATCGGCCCATGCAGAGACATTACTTACTAAGTGACTGCTTTGCAGCTTCTACCCCAAAGCAGACAGCTCAGGGGTACTTTGCAGTGATTCTGCAGGAAATAGTGCATYATCAGTGCATCTTCAGTCTGATTGCATTTTTTTTCAAAATGCAGGAGCCTATGTGAATGCAAAACCCTTTCTATGAAATAGCTATACATATATCTCTTGGAGTGCCTGACAGGTGACTTACTAACAGGATACTGTTAATCATGATTTGATCACTTAAAATTCAGCTGGGATCTTCTTGCAGCTTTTGGATTGTTAGACACATTCTTGGACCACTCTAGAGGACATCCAAATGGTCCTTTCCAAGAGGAGGCCATTATTTACCTAAATCCTGTCTTTCCAAAGTATTTGGCTGTGACAGCTGCACGCTCTCCTGTGTRCAGTCCAGACACTTTCATTCATGGAGAATTTCCACCATAGACTTGCACAGAGAAGCACTGATGCTGATGTCTGGTATAGCAGAGACAATAGTACAGTATTTCTGATACAAGACGAGAACCTTTCAGAGAAAATCTTGACTAGGTTCTCCATCTCTTTTGATTTTTTCTTAGGACATGATTTCCTGGGATTACCAGTTTWGGTCTGTAACTGCGTGGCCTTCAGCTTGCAAAATACTTCAGGGTCATTGTGCAGTTGTTAGTGATGGGACCAAGGCCCTGTGAGAAACTGACTGCATTTCTTTCCACTGCAGCTGACTTTCAGCAGTGTGACAGTGGAACTCGACCAGCGGTATGTTCATTTTACTTCCACTAAGCACCTCTTCACGCCCGTTGCTGTTGGAAGCTCCCACCCCCCGACACAGGTGAGCATCTTGGAGCCAAACCTAGCAGCAAGTGTAGGGAAGGAGCTAGTGCTACAAGAACAGGCAGCGTCTGAGGCAATTCTCAGGAAATTGAATGGCTTCCACAGGAAAGCATCACAGGAGAATTTTGAGGATAGTCCTAGGCAGAGTTTGGAAATAGCTGCTGGGACAGCAACAGGGGAGGACTTCTCACCATCTCCTGTTTGACAAGATCTGGTTTTCACTCTAATTATAATGCTTATAAGGCATGTTGGGTTGTTCACTTATTCTCTTGCATTGGATTTGMGTGATAACTTGCCTAGCTGCTCCATGTACTCTGAAAATAAATCCTAATTAATTTTTTAGTAAATTAATTTAAATTCCTTAAACGCTTATTCAGCAAAAAGGCAGCTTTGATTCTGTTCTGCCTAATTTRCTTGGGAAATGAACAAGTCTGAATTGAATTAAGATCACTTTAATACAAGTGTTTTTGCATTTTAAGTAATCCGCTTTAGAGTGATCCCTTTAGCTAATTTGTATTAATTTTCCCCCAGTGTGAATTGGCAGGGCACTGTCTCACCATTTGGAGAGGCACTGTGGTTATCAATGTACATGTGTGATGATAAACCTTCAGAACAGCTACTTATCAGAGCCTCAGTGTTAAATCTTGACACTATGAGGTCTCCTCATTGTTAGGAGATAAGCTGATTAATTAAATATTAATGCTTTTCAGAGTCCTTTGKGGAAGTGTTAACTAGGTTAACTTGTACCTGGTGTAATAAGCACTGCTCTTTCTGACYCACTTCAGATATATGAACTCTACAATGGTGGCTCCATGCCCGTGACATTTGAGGTTCAGCTGGACAACATTGTGAAGGTACGGGAGAAGAATTTTCAGCATCCTGTGTTTGCCTGCCTAACTCCTAGAGGAGAAATCCTCCCTGGTGAAACRGGCCGCATTGAGTGGATCTTCTCACCACTGGAAGCTAAAACATACTCGGTAAGACCCTCCTCATGACTGAAAGAAACAGATTCTGTTGTTGACCTAAAATTCTTTAGGCTTCTTACTGATGGTTGGTCCATGTCATGCTACAGCTGAATTGAGCTCTATTCCTCCAAGAAGCAGAAAGTCTTGAGAGCAAATGATTGTTTGGTCTGGTCTGGAAATGGAGCAGATAAATTTCTGTCTCATMAATTTTTTCTTCCCAAGAAGAGATACCTTCCACAACCAGAGTCATCCCAGCATATATTTTTCAAGGCTCAATYAGTAACTGGGGATATCAATAGTATTTGTTCAGATTTGTGGTTCAATGTTTGCCTCCAAATATTCCCACCAAAGAGACTGAAGTTGGTATCTTCTATCATTGCAGTGTATGCTGCTGCAAACCTCTGGAAACAGCCTTTCCAAAGACCTCTGTCCTGGGCTGCAACAGGCAGGCAGAGCCAGAGCTGGAGCACTACTTGTTGTCCCACTCTGTGGTGAATGCATRAGAAAATAAATAAATTTAATTTTAAAACTCCAGCTCCAAGAGGGAGTCTCTATACATCTCATAGTGTAACTGGCTAATTGACTACTTAACCAGCTTTCCTGGGCTAGCAGGAAAGGCCAAGGCCTGAAAGAGCAAAAGAGACTGGAGTTGKCTTTATCCATGCATGTGGTGTATTTAGACAAGTCCATTAGCAATTATGCTTGCTTATTGCAGATCTCTATCAAATATGACTCTGGACTTAAAGCTTTTATCTTGTCCAAGGCAGATTGATGTTCCCATCCACATCCTGGAGGGTGAATCGACCCCAATCACTTTYGAGGCAGTAGGCTGCAATCCAAATGTAGGAGAAGGTGCCACATCCAGGCAATTTTTGTCTTCTGCAGCCTTTCCAGGTTCTGCCAAGCTAACTGTGCCTGGGCAGGTAAGTCCAGGCATGGGATATGAGCAATATGGTCAGTCCAGAAATGTGTGAAAGAGACTGAAATATACAAGTGGCCCYATCTTGCAGTGGCCTGTTTTGCAGGACAGTTTATTTGTCATGAGATAGARCAAGATATTTCCCTTCCAGTAAGTCATCTAGAGCTTAACTCATGCAAGTTGAAAGGTCTCTYCACTTGTTTGACCTGCCGCTGGCTMAGCAGGAGCTTGTGTGGCCTGGCTAGAGCTGGCCTCCCAGCCTGGACAAGYTGTTGTTAAACTCACCCACAGATCCAAGCACAGTAAATGAGCATTATACAGCAGCAGCAGAGGCATTCTCCTGCAGGTAAAGGATTCATCCTGTGTGACATTAGCATGCCTTCCTTGAAGCCAGCCACAGTTCTGTGTGGTCTTTGGCTTCCAGCAGAGCAATTATGTTCCTGAGTACTGCAAGAGAAGATGAGTAAGAACTGCCTGAGTCTGGCAATGAAGATGGCATTCTGCAAGGCTCTGTTGTCTGAAATCAAGCTTTTTTCTCTAATGATTACTGTGCTTAATTAGAAATTTCACTGTGCCTAGAGAATGGGACAATCTAGTAGCATAATAGTACCAAGGTGTATTAGTGAGCAGTTTCCCAAAACTCACAGTCAGGTTGATGGGGATTTTGCACAGGCACATACCTCACGTTTATCAGCTGAAGCAGGAAAAGGTCTGCACTGCAAGTGCTGGAGAGAAAATTGGAGTGTTAMTGGTCCTCTATGCTCCTGAGATCCTCTCCTGTCCAGCACCAGTGTTATGTCTTATTTATTGCTCACTCAATCCCACTGCAACAGAGCTGTCCTTTTTCAGATAAAATCATTGTAACCACAGAAAAAAAAGAGATAATTGTTACACTCCCTCAATTTGTTTTAGTAAAGACATCTAGCTAATATTTATGAATTTCTGGATAGCTTAGAGATGACTGTGTGACTGCCCTTCCCCAATGGCTAGATCCCACCTTCCTTTCCTGCAGTTCCTTCTGGTTTCTTCTTGCTTCCTGCAGGCAGCCACCTTGTCCCATCACAGGATTTTCTTTGGAAATATCCCAGACTGCACCAAAGCTTGTCGACTTGTCTTTCTCAACAATATCTCAGAGAGCAAGGCAATTGTGTTTGCCTGGCAGATAATCACCTGCAAAGAAAAGGTGAGTCCTCTTTRTTCTACAGCCTTCCTGCCCATCTCTAGTGTGCCATGAAAGTACCTTACAAAACTCCATTTTCCACAAGACATTCAATTCTAGGGAACTGGCTTTCTTCTAGATGATGAAAGGAAAAGTGGAGGCGAAGTTTAGGATAGGGGGAAAGATGGGAATTCAGAAGGGAAATCTGAAGACTTCGGTGAGGCTACATGAAGCTGGAACCACAGGATATGATAACAAACCTCAGGACTCTGTCCATCAGCAATATTCTTAGAATATATCAACTGCATCTCTCTCATGCCACATACCWCTGAGAAGAAGATGGGTGTTTTCTGCAAAGAGAAAGCATACATGATGGTCCCAGGACAGYGAAACAACTCCTCTGAGAGTTTTTCTTAAATTTTTTTAATTTTTTTTTTACTTTTGTTTCCCCCCCACCCCCTTCAGCTGTTGGAGATTGTTCCAGAGTCAGGGGTTGTGCAACCTGGAGAGAGTATCCCCTGCTTCATCACGCTGAGGCCTACAAGGAATCCTTCCTTCTGCAGAATAAATCTGATGTGTGAGGTGAGACCCAAGAGGTACCTGTATACTGCCATGACCTGGACGTATTATCGTAGCTCCCAAATGGCTGACTCCAGCAGTAAGCTGCCTGCTGCTTCCAGCTGAAGGAATCCTTCTTTGCTACACTATTGTCATTCCTGAAGACAGTTAGCTTCATCCTTCCTGAGGCTTTAAGCATCTTTCTGTCTGTGTGGCTCACTGGATGAAGTATAACTGTGTAATGTATGGCTRTGTGAGGGGAATCCAGCTTCTAGAAGTGATGGTTTGAATGGGAATGGCTTTTGGTGGTTGCCAAAGACTTCATATCTGTAAAAGACWAGTCTCACTGCTTTAATAATATTGGGGGCAGACTTACAGCAGCCCCCTGAACACTTTACAGGTTTTCTGTGGCAAGAGAGTATATTTTCTCTGTCTTGAGTCTTAAAATACCACTGTTCTTTTTTCTTCCTGCCACTGGAATACATGGAAAGTGAGTGGGTTTCTTTATGGGACCTCCTGAAATGGAGGAACGGGCATGGACTTGAGCCAGACTGTTATTTGCAACTCTTTTCTAGCTCTGCTCCRTTCAGTTATGGTTTGCTTTATAGGTGTTCATCCAGGAGTCCCTGGTCCAGTATGAGAGGGACCTGCAGGAGTGGGAAGAGGAGAAGAAACGGCAGGCTGTGGAATTYACCATCACAGAGAAGGACCTTGGGGCTAAGAAGAAGCCAACAGCACCTTCAGTAGTAAGCACTCTCAAAACCTTTCACAGCTTAGCTTGGTTCAAGAAACAGCAGCCAGTGTTGACAAAAACTGTTCTTTAAGAAAATCTGGACAAGTTGATAAGAGAACATGAGGCTTTRGTCTGTTAAAGACCTCAAAGCTGATCTGTGGTTAGTGGAAAATGAGATCTTGGTTCCTAGCCAAAAATCATCTTATGAACTCTGAAATTGCTTGTGATCATCTGAAATTTGGAAGTGCATGAGAAGCTTTAGGAAAAACAAAAGCCAGGGCCCTGGAAACCAATGGTTGGATTTTTAACCATGAATAAACACTGGAGAAAAATGCGTAGCTAAAGTAAGAATGTGACCTGAGGGAAGAATGGGAGGATGAGATCATTGACTCTCAGCTGGCACAAAATTTAAAAAAACACCTAAAGTCTTGTTCTGCTCCATATCTTTCTACATGGTAATCCCTCTTCCCTTTTTTTGTTTGGTGGGTTTTTGTTTTTTTTTTGTTTTTTGAGTTTTTGAGGTTTTTTAAAATATTTTATTTTTCAGAGGTTATCAGATTCTGCTAAAACAGAAAATCTCTCTGAATCCTCAGCTTCGATCAGGAAATACAAGGTAAGTCAGGCCTGTCTCACCCATAGTAGAATCAAACTGACTGCTTTAGAAAAGAGGCAGATGCTKGATATCACAGCGTGGGAGTCTGGGCAGAGAGCACAGCAGGATTTGTAGCTTCAAGGCTTTGGGACACAGACTGTTTGGAGGAGCCAGAAGAATCAGACTGTCTGGCTGTGTTCTGTGGGCAGTAACTTTCCAGCTGAGGTGAATGGGAACTGAAATTGGCATCAAATGTGCACCCATGACTGGGGAACGGGGGAAAGGTTTCAAACAAGCAGAAAAGATGCACACAGACAGGGCAATCAGTACCTGTACTGGTTTCATTCTGGGGCCACAATGGAATGTGTGCCACAACAGAAAGCAGAACATGGTGCAGACTTTGCCCTCACCTCTAGAAGAGCTGTGCTCTGTTCTTCGGGAGAAGCTGCAGGCAGGAACTGCCTTGGTTTAAATGCACAGAAAGGTTTAAAGCTCAGTTTGCCTGGTTCATCTCTGTTTCCACTCAGGTGCTGGAAGACAGTTTTTCCATTACTGGTGGGAGGGTGTGAAACAAGGTCCCARTGAGTGCTCTGCAGAACTTCCTGGGCCCAAAGATAGCCATCAGCAGGACATGCTGTGGGAATGACAGGGCTCACAGAGGACCAGCTAACCCAAGATGTGGAAAGACTGCGGGAGGCTGGGCCTGAGAGGATTGAGGCAGCTAGGAGATGCAGGGTGTTATCTCAGGAATGTCACTGCAGTCAGGCTGTAGCAGTGCTCCTGGGATGCTGTGAAGTGCCTTTGCATGCCCTGCACTGTTCTGTGTGAAGGAATCAGCTCTGAGCAACTCTGGCTTGGATTGTCTGCCCTGAGCTCTTTGGTGTGATCAGGTCATGGAGTTCACTGGATGAGCATAAGGATGGCTGCAGAAAGGCAAAACCAGTTTCATTTAGTCCACTAGGATACTAACCTCTAGTGACAATATGGAGCCTGCTGTGTCTGGCTAAGGAGAATTGAAGGCCTCATTCCCAGAGGCAGGACAGCAGTGTCTCAAAATCATGGAAGTCCTGCGGTGCCTGAGGGCTTMTCTATATTTTGGTGGTGTCCTGCTGGCCCAGGCTTCCAGACTACTGCTCTAAGAAACTTWCCCCAACCTGACTGCTGATAATGCAACCTCAAGTTGGCCCGTGTAGCGTGGCTGGAGTCGGTTCCTGGTTTCCCTTCAGATTTGGGAGAGAACAATTTCCCAGGGCATTCCATCCACCTGCATAACTTCTCCCATAGCACTTCTGGTGAGCTTGCAAGAGCTTCCATGGTGATGGATTGGAGTACAACAGCCCCAAGTTCCTTGGGGAGACCCTGAAGCCCTGTTGATACTTGGGTCTGGCACCTTGGGCAGTGAACAGGGAACAGATCTGATTTCCACTATGGCTGCTGATGCCTGTTAGCAGTACTGCAGCACTAAGATCATTCTGACACCCAGGATSTGGTGGCTCTGGTTGCTGGGCTTTCAGTTCTCATACCTGTGCCCAAGCCTGTGCCAGCCTCCTTGTGGCCAAAGAAGCAACTATATGCCTGCTATTTCTTTCTCTTCAACAGACATTACCCCCTATTAAAAGCAACCCATCACCCACTCARCCACCTGGACTCCATGAGAGGGGGCTGCCATTGGGCAAAAACTGCAGCCAGACGTGGGTCAAACCAGAGCCTCCCAAGCCCTTGCTCTTACACCTTCATGTGTCAGCCAGGTCCTACGCTATTGAGGACTTTCTCAGCAAATTCGTCTGGGAATTTCCTAGATACTTCTTGTCCCGGTAAGAGATAGGAGTTTTTTKGATTGGCATTTTCATCTGGGTCAGGGCTGCCCATGCTCTGATATGCACTGAACTTGGAGCCCTGGTCTGCTCCTCTCCAGTGCCTCAGAATTAGGTAAGAGGTGTCTCGTTTTCCCCAGCATTAGCTGACATGACCTGTTTCTCTTCCCACCTCAACTGTCAGAGCTCAGTGTTCCTCTTTTATGACCTTGCCCCTGCTGCTGTCACAGATATGACAGCTCCCACTCCTCCCCTGCTTGCCTGCACTGTTGTGTGCAGGTCTTTGATAGTTTGGTTTAGTAGTGCTGCCACTGATGGAACAACTCCTCCTTTCCCAGTCCTTCCAGCCCCCAGACCTCAGAGAGYGAATTCGTGGATGGAAGTGAGTATAAAAACAAGATGGACCCAGAGCCTGAAAGGCTGTCCCTGGCTGCTGCTTCAAAACAGGAGCTGGAGGTGGTGACTGACACACTCACGAGTGTCATCAGGTGTGTGTCCCTTCACCCTCACCTGGTTTGGAGCCCCTTCAGAGAATGTGTGCAGCATGGCCCTCTGCTAATCCTAGAGGACTCTGTGCACTCTCGTTGTCAGAATGGGGGATCCACCTGCCAAAGGCTGTCTTGGGGACTATGAGCTCAGGGATCTGGGAGTGACAGCCAAAAACAGGGACTTCCTCCCAAACCAGGGGCTGAGCCCATCTCTCCAGAACTCCCAGGAACCAGGGAACTCTACCTGCTGTGATCTTTGGTTTGTGAGCTGCACAAATATGAAGAACAGTGCTGGGAAAACAGAGGTGGTTTCATTAGCTCAGGCCCTCTTACTGTGCCCACTAGGCCCAGAAATCCAAAAGGGACAGACTAAACACTGACATCAGTCRGTAGTTTCCTCTGATTTGTGGGTCATACAGATGCTGGAACTCATTCTTTATTTTCTTCTTCCTAGAAGCCTYTTGGAGGATGGCCATTTCCTCAAGGCAGTGAGAAGACTCCACCTTGACCCTATTCCATATTACTCCCAGTTCCGGTCTGCAAAATCAGCAGAGCACCGGGACAGACAGGGCTCCATGATCCCTTCCACGGTCTCTGCTTCAACAAACCTTGGCCTTGAGAAGGACAGAGAGAGGAGAAAAACAAGTCAAGAAACCCCTTCCAGTGATTTCCTGGAGTCTTGGAAGAGTTTTTACCATAAGCAGTTAAGGGAAAAGGAGATGATAAGTAGGTGAGGAAGAGCTCACACATAAAAGTCAAGAGCTGCACAGTCAAGAGWGCCATGGCAGCACACTGCTTGGCCAGAAATCCATTTCTCCTTCAGCCTGGCAGCATTTCTGCTGGTGTGTTTTGTTCTTTCAGTGGAAGTTGATGCTAGCCCACCTAGCCACCCTGTCCTGAGTGTGGTTTGTGTGGAGAGAAGGGTTGCTGTGTTGGGGCTTGCAAGGATGCTGCTAGTGAATGAAGTCTGCTTTACTCTCAGGCAGTCCTGGCCACATTAGACATTATGGAGCAGTGTGTGCTTACCTCATCTTTTATTTTCACTGCAGTGTTTCACCACCTTGCGTTTGCTGTGGCTACTGCCTTGTACACTGCTACAAGCTACAAGCATACTCACTTAGAGCAGCTACAGCACAGCTTGGAGGGATAAACAAGTAAAACTACAGTCACCCAGCTCTGTCTAAAGTCAGGGCCTGACAGCAGCTGGTGACAGTTCTGGGACAAGGGTCAGCAACCCATTGCTCAAGTCTTTGATTCATTGGTCTTAGTGTGTAGGAACAGTGTGTGCTCCATTACTGTGCCTGATGATTCCTGGCAGGAGTCACAGCAAGCAGCCTGCCTTATCTGCTTTCTGATAGCTGTCCTCTGCTGTACTTCTGTCCCTCTAGGCAGCCAGCTGTTGGGAACCTTGTGGAGCTGTTGCTGGAAAACACACTGCAGAATATCGTGGTGGAAGCCAGCCGTGGGGAGGTGATGCTGACAGCCCGGCCCAGAGTCATTGCTTTACCCCCCAACCCTTCGCGAAGGTAGCAGTGCCTATCTGTTCTCTGGTGGGGGAYGGGTCCTGTCCTTAACATGTCAGGCTGAAGCACAGCCCGTGTTCTAGACATGGGAATCAGCTGAATCCCTGCCTATCAATGCCAAGGCTGCCTGTGCACAAGGAAGAATCCATTCCCAAAGTCTCTGCCCCTTCTTGGCTTGTCCTGAGCCACAGAGTAGAGGTGGTAATGTTACAATCTTKCTCATGCAGCTCTGGGTCAGGGCCCTAAGGGTGAACAGCTGGCCTGAGACACTGGAAAGACCAGCACAAAGATAGTCCTTTGGGAAAAGGGGACAAGGAGCAGGTAGCACAGCCTCTGACAGCAGAAAGGGGGGAAACACTTGTAGTCCAAGATGGTGTGGGATCTATTTAGATTGAGGGAATGGCTGCTGGTGGGGCAAGTAGATTTGGAACTGAGCGAAAACCCTGAGGGTTTACCCTAGCTTGGGCAGAAGTGCAGAGAGATGGGATTGAGGGTTAATGGAAGAGGCTTTTTGGATGTAGATGTCATCTCCAGASCTGCGATCTCTTCTTCTTCAGAATCACCAATCTAGCACCTCCACCCTCTGGATTATAGCTGCTGGGCAYTGTGCTGCTTGAGATCTTCAACTACATCAGCTCTCTCCATTCTACATCCCTGTGATGTGCAGAGCAGCTTGGACCCTCCCAAACCATGACCTTAGCTCAGCATGCTGCCTTTCTCTAAGGAGGTATGTCCTGATTATGTTCCAGCACAACTTTGAGTCCTCTGACAACTCCACTGCAGAGTTGATGACATCTTTCCTTTCTGTGGCTGGCCAYATCATTGGAAAATTCCAAGCTACAAGAAGCACATGGACAACCTCTGACAATTCCCACTACCCTCAGTCTGTAATAGCTGAGAGGAGTRTAATCTGCTTTGAAATGTAGCTGAGAAAGGACTGGGCACAGCTGGGCACAGAGATGATGACATCAGTAGGATGCAGGTACTGAATCCTCCTTCACTCCTTGCTCCAGTGGAGACTGCAGGTTTCCCTTACAGTGACCAGCCCGAGGAGGCAGCTGCAGCACCATCAGCACACACAGCAACCCAATAAAAGCAGTTTGACTTTCAGACACTGACACCGTGTGTAACATATGTCATTCATGAGTCTGGGTTTGTGAGCCCTAGACCTTCCCTTTTCAAACTGCAAGGCTGTCACCTAGGGAAGGGGATGCTCTCAGCCTTGGCCTGGCCTGGAGGGTCTGTCAGGCTGCGCGAGAGGTGTCACAACGAAGGAGCGGGTTTGTCACAGCCGGGAGGTGGCAGTGTGAGTTGTGAGAAATCCCAGCGGCCAGCACAGAACAGGCTGGTGCTGGGTCCCAGCTGCTGTTCCCAGGCAGGAGCTGCAGGATGGCTGTGCCAGGCAGTGTTTGCCAGGCTGCGTTTGCAGTATCTCCTGTTCTGCAGTACTGCTACGGGCTCTGYAACGTGGGACTCACGCAGCCACCCAGCTCTGGTGAGGATGCAGCTTTGGTGTTCCCCTCCAAACCCTCATGCCCAGTGCCAGGATTCAGCCAAGACCAGAACTGCATCTTCGTGCCTTGAATCCCAAAAGACGACTGTGAACAAGATGCTGTGGAGGGCTTTTGCCCTGCTCAGCAGAGGGCAGTTGCCTGCTGTGCCTGTGGTACTGTGGCTCACCCAGCTTCACCCCAGCTCTCCTCTCTGTGCAGGGGCCCTCCCTGCATAAACGTTACTAAGCCTCAGGGCTGAGCTGTTCCTGTTGTCAGAGATACAGCAGAGGCACTGCCAGCTCCCGAACTCAGCCTGAGTGCCTTGGGCCTTCACATGGCTCCTGGATCCTTCTYATGAGAAGCGCAAACTCTCTTCTCCCTTCCCAATACTCTGGGTGCCAGCAGAGTCACAAACTCCTATGTCACARCAGTCTTTCTGTATTTCACTGGGCTTTGGCTGGTTCTGAACAGGTAATGCTGAATCACTTCCTTCCCCCAYAGGTCAAGACAGCCATGGGGCCTGGCTGTTTAGTCCACTTGGAGTGATTCTTCTTGGTCCAAGTTCCTCGCTAGGATTTGCTCACTGCAGATGCTCTGTAGTTCTGCAACAAACTTCCCAGATGGATAGCAAAGATGGGGCAGAAGCTTCACTACTGCCCTAAAGCAGATTGAATCCAGCTGCCCAAGTGAAGACAGGGTCAATCCRTTTGCCCATCCTCAGACCTGCTGTGTGATCTAATGCTCTTTAGGCTGCATCACTGCAGCTGCACCACTGCATCCACTACCTGGAGGAGTTAACATGGGAAATGCTGTGTGTTAGTGTGGTGTAACACCCAAAAGTGAATGGAGGGAGCCCATATCATCAATGTGTAGGGAATTACTTTTTTTTGTCATTAAAACTCCTATCCCTGCCACTCTCCTGTGCTCCCAGCTTGGACCTGAAGAAAACAGAACTCACACTATACTTGCCTGTTGAAGCACTATTAGAGGGAAATTCACTTATTTGATAAGCATCACTCTCTAGTAGGAGAGATCTCAAACGTAGTGCCTTGAATAGGTGAGTCAGAGAAACAGATTTGAGCGCTACCTACACTTGTGAGAGAGAATTTTTTCTTCTCACAGCTCTTTCTAAGGGCTGTGAGATGGTGGTCTGTCCCCTCTGTTGGAGGTCTTCTTTGGTGCCTGTCAACCAGAACTACTCTACGTGCACTAAGCAAAGACAGTAGCAGCTGTCACACTTTTCTTTTATCCTCATCCTAAAGTATAAATACATTACTGGGGGCAGCAGTAGGTGAGGCAGCTACTTTTCCACGTTGGGGAAATTCCTGATTCCTCTTCTCAGGCTGGGAACCAGACCCTGACTCTTGTTTTGGAAAACACTTCCATGTGTGAATTTGGCCCCTGCCAAACACAGCTGCATTTCTAATGCACATCTCTCCAACGGAAATATTGTAGATACAGGTCCTGCTCCTTCCCACTGGTTTGCATGATGAAGTGGGTGATGTTCCCAGGGAACTGGGGCTGGTGGCCAGGCCAGGCACCCAGCAGGTACACGGCCAGCAGGAGGATGGCTGAGCATGAGCTTTGCAAGCTAATGGGACTCTCCCTCTCCTTGTGGGAACTATCAGGAACACTCAGTCATCAGGCAGTTAATGCAACACACAACRGGCGCTTTCTTCTTGGCTGTTACTCCTGGCTCCCAGGGAGAGGTGAAATGGCCTTGGGGCAGGTGGGCAACAGAAGCTATCCTGAATCCCATTAAAACATTTAACACATGCTGAATCGTGCCATTGTCTGGGAGATAAAGRGAAGGGAACAAAGCTGTTCTTGGGCTTCCCTAACAGGGTGTCTGAAAGGTCCTGCTGTGCTATCCCAGCTGGGGAGCCTGAATCTCCTGCAAAGCCCCCCTTGGGGGGGRTCGGTCTCTGTGTCCTTGTGGGGAAGGCAGCAGTGTTAGGGGACAAGGAATCAACCATTCCATCCTTGGCATCAGCCCCTTGTCCTTCTGTACGGCGCATGAGGCAGAAACCTGTAAAAGTCCTGCCCTGACTAGCTTGCAGTGTCTGAAGAGCAAAAGCATGAGGGTGATCCTTCCAAAACCTTTGGCAGAGCTGGGCAGGTATCCTTCACCTCTGGCCTTCCATGTCCCCAATACTGGGCTTGGAGACACTCAGCTGTGTCTCTGGTATTTGGGAGTGGGGACCATGCTCAGGCCAGGCCAGGGCACCACGCTGGCTCCTAATGTACACAAGAGGTGCTCTGATGTGAGCCAGTCAATCCTCATGGGTCAGTGAGGCAGCAAAAGCCCTTGGCTGCTGCAAGAGGAAGCTGAGGCTGCCTTTTCAAGGCCCGTYCTACTGGCAGTAACACACCTGCTTGACTGGGAAGGGCAGAAACTGGTAGATGCTGCGCCAGAGATGCCAGGGCAGGCAGAAGACGTTCTCCAGGGTACCAGTGCAGTGCGGGTCACTCTGCAAGCTCAAGGGACCTGCTTTTCTCCTGTTTTCTTTAAGACAGCCGTGCAAAGATAGTATTTGCTGTTATTTGGTGAGTGGTGGGGCTCTGCCCTTGCAGGAGAGAGACAGGAGTGAGAGACTATTTCTAACACAGCATGGAGAGGTCTGCTGGCACTGCAGCAGCACCCATGTGGTATTTTGGGTTTTTTGCTTCTCCAGAAAGAGAAGGGAAAGCCAATCAACCTGTGCCAGGAGCTGCTGCTCCGCTGTTCTGGTGCGTGGCAGGGCAGGGAGAGGTGGGAGTCCTACCACATACTAAGAAAGGAGAAATATGCAAGTCYAAGCATCACAGCCTGTATAGCATAAAAAGAGGATTAAACATCACATTTCTTCTCTGTACCACAACCCAGAGTACTGGTGGTACTGCATTTCCTTTGCTGACAGAACCACCAGAAAAGGGGATCAGGATGAGCAYGGGCAGAAGGCTGGCATCACTCTCACTTCTCCCCGTGCCAGGCCAGGGGGAGAGGAGAGGCAGCAGGAGACAGGAGGAATGGTGCCTGCCTTCCAAAATCCTGACTCTGAGAGGGTCAAGTCTCCAAGGAAGAAGAGTTGGGTGGCAATGGCTGCTGAGGATTTGCCACTATCCACTTATATTTGGGAATCCATTTACTGCAACACGCAAGTACACTCCAGCTCTGGAAAGAGAGATGGTGATGGTTTCTAAAGCACACCCAGGACCAGGATTTCTGCAGGTGTACGCCATGGGGATTAAAGCAGCGTTACCCCCTTCCCCACCCACAAACACACCCATCTGCACAAACAAACAGGCCACTGCACTTGCACAAAGGAGCTTCTCCTGCCACCACTCCTGCACTTCATGCTCTGTTATCCAAGGAGCTGTGGGTGCCAGAGAGCCCAGCTCCTGCTGACTCTGGCTGAGATCAGCAGAGGGCTGTCAGGGCTGAGCAGTGTGGCTGGGCATTGCAGGAGGGTGTCTAAATTACTCCTGGCCTCAGCACGCTCTGCACATTGCTCCCAGAGCCAGCCTGGGGGAGTCTGCACCGGTTACCCTGCTGGGCAGTGACACAGCTGGGACACAGGAGTGCTGTGGCTCCGGGATGCGGTGACCCACGGGGAGCCATGTGCACATGGAGTGAAACACATCCTGTTCGGGCAGCTGTGTTAGGATAGCTGGCTCCTGGCCCGCGTGGCCATGCTGGGAACRCTCCCCAAGAGAACGCACAGAGGTAGTTTTGTTGAACTCTGCTTTGCTGCCTGGCTCAGRAGTCTGTGGACTCCTCTAAATGAAGTGTGAGAATTGTCCTGGTGTGCCATGGGGATTTTCAGCATGAGTGAGGGGATTGGGATGGGAGCAAGGAAGTCCTTGGTGTCACTGGCACGCAGTGTCAGACTGCTTGGGGTAGTCCGCTTTTCTGCCCTGGGACCTCACTGCGCTCTCACCTTTCAGCACTGCAAGAAAGCCACTGCCACCCTAGAGCTGCCCAGGTAGGGTATCCTCACACCTGCTTCCCCTGGCCCCCCGCTCTCCCCTCTGCTGCAAAGTGAGCCAGGCAGGTGGGTGGAAAAGTGACAGCTGGTGTTGTTCCAGTGCAGGTTAATGAATGTCTCCTCCCCGCCCCCCCCCCCCCCCCCCCCCCCCCCCCCCCCCCCCCAGGCTCCTGGCTCCTATCAGCCCATCAGGCTCCCATTAACAAAGGCAGCCCTGGAGAGTTTGCATAGAGACCTGCTCTGCCTCTAATCTAGGTGGGCTAATCGCCTCCCTTGCCCAGCCTGCCTTCCCTGGGTCAATATTTGCTCTGAGCAAACACAGAGCTGTGACAGGTGTGCTGGGGAGAAGGCTCGCCGCCGCCAGCCCAGCCCTCTCTCCTGTCTCTGCTCAGTCACATCTCTCCGGCCCCCCGATCACTGGCCAGCCAGCGCTATTTTTATCAGGACTATAAAAGCCCCATCCAGCCAGCGTCACCCTCATTTTCTGCTCGTGAGCCAGCGGGGGAAGGCGAAGCCACTCACCTGACAGCTGCCAGCGTGTCGCCGGAGCCAGGTGAGCTGCTGTAGCCCAGCACATCTTGGCTGGGATACTGCCTGCCTGGCTGGTAGCAGGGTCCAGGGCATGGAGAAC